GACCTGTTTCCTGATCATATTCTCCTACACCCTCATTGTCTCCACCATCCTGGGTATCAGCTCCTCCTCAGGCAGAATCAAGACCTTCTCCACCTGCTCATCCCACCTTACTGCAGTGCTCCTGTTTTATGGTTCAGCTTTCCTTCGCTATACCATGCCAACTTCAGGTTCACCACTGGAGTTGGTCTTCTCTGTACAGTACAGTGTGGTCACTCCCTTAATGAATCCCCTTATCTATAGCTTGAAGAACAATGAGGTGAAAGCAGCTGTGAGAAGGACCTTTAGAAAATATCTCCAATATTTGCTGACCAAAGACAGAAGATGATGTGGAGTTAGTTCTCTATAGCAAGATATCTTGTTAATTGACAATAAGAGAATTTCCTGATTGTCCTGATATTGGATCTAAGAAAAGTATCTAGAAATTCACAAAGCTGTTTGGAGATAAAGTGGAGAAAGATGGTTCAGATTCATTCTGGCTTAGAGGCAGGGCAAAGCCTCAGATAACCATACTAATCCAGCCATTTTCCTTGGATAGTCTTTTGGTTGCTTTGATGAGTCTTCATCCAAGTCTGTTTCTCGTTACTATGCAGTTCAGTGAACAGCATGGGAGAAAGAGAAGGGAGCATATAAAACAAACCTGTTGAATCTTCAATCTGGGAGAGGTGAGAGGATTAGAAGGGAGGGAAGAGCAATAGTAGTTAACTGTGGTATTTGGATTTAGAGACACCTAGGCCCAGGAAAGGTAGGATCATTCAGGGAAATAAGATAGCCCAGATGTAGGAGGATCCATTATGGGATCCACAAAAAGCAAGTTTCTAAAATCTTCTAGAAAATAAAACAAATACATATCAAGACAATGATTTCATAAGATAGACAATCTAGTAGAAAGGTATTTTGCTATTTGAGCAAGATGTTAGGTTCGAGAGGGTGAGACATAGTTTCAAGATGAAAAGGGAAAGTACAATTAAAGAGTAAGAGAGTGAAGAACAGAACTAGAAATCCAGGCCAGCTGGGCAATGCAAACCGCTGGTTAACTTAAGTTTAGGAGGTGCCTAATCTGGTCAAAATACAATGACTGCTTGGGGCTGCAGTGAAGGATGGAAAGTTTCCCTAAAATTCCACTGTAAGGCACAATATTGAGTTGTAAGGATAAAGGGATTTTGGGGAAAGAGTCTCCAAAGTCTGGGGACACAAGGTTTGTTTCCAATTTAAGTATATGGCAGATTAGATTGGTGGTCTTCTCCTTCCCTTTCTTTGCCCCTCCCTCTTCTTGATGTCCTTTTTCCCACCCAGGCAGCCAGTGCCCTCAAACTGCCTCTTCAGAATCCCCTTTCCATAACTTCCCTGAATGTTAAGAATCAGATCAAATTACCTAAGCACAATTCAACATGAACAAAAGATGAGACGTGCTCAACACAGCTATCCAGGCAAATTGGTAAATTACAGATTGTGTTAAGATGATGACCCCGGGATCCACTTTCTTCTCTACTTCTCTATGTAAATATCCAAACTTCTCTCTCTTCACTTTTTTCTGAATTTCAAAATAGGCATTCAACTTCAAGGTGAATTGAAGCCACTGTGTTCCCTCTCACAAGGTAAGTGAAGAGAATTTGAAATTAATGCTTACCTCTCACTCCCATGTTGAAATGAAGCCCTCTCTTCACTTGTTTCCAGTCAGAGGATCTGTACTGGGAGCCAGGATTAGCAGATCATGGAATCTCATTACTTGGGCTTCTACCTGCCTTCCTAGTGGGTTGTGTGGGCCATTAGCAAAGGATAAAGGTTTTGAAATATTGGATCGCTAATTCACAATTTCTTCAAAATCATTTGGATATCCTGGAGTTTTCTCAGGCTGAGTGCTGGAAACAAAAATGAGATTGTAGCCAGGTCTATGTTGAGAGTAAATATGGAAAAATGGGAGCAAATGTCTGGCCAAAATCAGACAGTGAATTACAAACTGTGAGAAGTTTTCTCATCAAAGTGAATGGACGGAATTGACTGTTTGCTACTGAAGAATGCAAAGAAATGGTTTATTTCAATAAGATTTTACAAACTCAGAGACAGGAAAAATGGACTTTTCCATCTTCACTGCAAAACCAATTTGTGTTACCACGCTGGGTTTCAAATTACTCACCCAACACAACTGAGAGGTAACTTGAATATGGGTTCTGATTAGGGGTGGGAGTATGGGGACTTGTCTAAATAAAAAATAGGAAAAGAAAGGAAAGTTGGAAAAAACAGAGCATTGGCTGGCCTAGCAGGGATAGAATCTATTATGGTGAGTTCTTTGGGCAAGTACAATGTGAGACTGGTGAAATTCCCCACGTGAAAGCTGGGGAATTCAGATTTGATTCAGAGTTCTAGTTGACAGGTCAAGATTACTGTAAGGAGTTACCATATTAGGAAAGAGGACTCATGAAGGAATAGAGTCTGAGATTTCAAGTTGGATACGAAAAAAATTAACCAGTATGAGAATTCAGCCCTGGATGCTGCAAAAGTACTACTGAAAAAACAGGACTAATGAGTGTATTCACACAACAGTTCAACAAAGGCTAAGCAAGGTTGTTTGCCCAATCTATTGTAAGTAGAGGGCCTTGCACAAATAAATCCATAACATTTTAAATAATTAGATAAATGGGAGAATTGATGAAGCAATGGATAAATAAATGAATGGAGACATAGATGAATAGATGACTGAATTGACACACAGGAGGGATAATGAAGTGGATAAATGACAGATGACTAAATAAATGGATAACTGATTGATAAATTATCCAATGGATAGATGAATAAGTGTCAAGATTAAGCAACCCTCCAATTGTGGACCAAAATGAGTTGGTAGGTTCTCCCTGAGGGGCAGGAATCTTCAGCAGTAAATTAGTATCACAGAAGATAAGTCTTCTGCCAGTCCTTCACAACCACTACAAAATGAGCCCCACAATCCTACATAACCTTTTCTTTCTCTGCCACTTCCCAGTCATCCTCAAGTTTTATTTATTTCTGAAACTAGAATTCAAGCTGGGGATATTCCTCAAAGCACACATATGTCCTGTTTGCTTCATTCTGTCTACATTCAACAAATATTGAGGACCCATAATATGTCTCTCATTCTGCTGTATGTTCAGGATTTAAGATAATATAGAAGATTGAATACCAAATCTACCCTCCATAAATGAGCCACATGTTTGGAGAAAAAAGAAATACAGCTCACACATCCTACTAAAAGCCAAAGCAAGACAGATATCCAGGTGAAGGTCCAAAATGGTTTAGAGAGTAAGAGACAAAGGAGAACACAGAGTACAGAGAAGCAGATGTGCTTGAGAAAATGGATGTCAGCCGGTCAGGATGAAAAAACCACAGATAAGCTTCACAGACTTATTCACTCACTTACTGTAAAGCTTATCCACTCACTTACTGTCTCAACACCAGCAAGTTACCACAACATTTTCGGATTCAATTTCCTCTTTTTAAAATTTAAGATATTGCAGCCCCCATAGTTTTTGTGGGGTTTTTTTTTAAGATTAGCACCTGAGCTAACATCTGCTGCCAATCTTTTTTCTTCTTCTGCTTCTTCTTCTCCCCAAAGCTTCCCCAGTACATAGTCGTATATTCTACTTGTAGGTCCTTCTGGTTCTACTATGTGGGATGCCACCTCAGCATGGCTTGATGAGCAGTGCTAGGTCTTCACCCGTGATCGGAACCCACGAAACCCTGGGCCGCTGAAGCAGGCACAAACTTAACCTCTCGGTCACAAGGCTCACCCCTGCCCCCATAGTTTTGTTGTGATCCTCAAATAGAGAAAAGCTAAATATTTGATAAATATTTGATTAAAAAAATAGTAGGTGTCATTATTTTCCATACTCTGTGCAGGCAGAGAAGGAAGTAATCAAGACAGATGTATAAGGGAGGAGGTAGAAATTACAGTGAAGACTGAAGGGCAAGTAGAATTTGGGTCAAGATTTGAAGGGAAAAAAATTCAACAGAGTATCAGCTGAGGTCAAAGCAAAGAATAGAAGAGTATGAGGGCAACATGGCAAGCCTGATCTGACCAATTGATGCCCTGATTCTGCAGCCTGGAGGCACATCAGAACCACCCAAGCAACTTTGTAAATACCCATCACCAGGGCCCAAACAAGACCATGTAAAACCGGATCTTTACAGGTAGAAAAGTTACTACAAAGATTGGCTAATCCTTAAATGTCAACCAGAGAGGTTCATCTTTATTCAGGAGGGATTGTGAAAACAGCACTGTAGAATAAGTTCTGGTCATATTCAGAGGGAGTGGATAAAAATCCTGGCCGTTCAAATTGAGGAAGTGAACAAGTTTTATCAATCTGAATCTTGGGGTTTTTTTCTTAACTGTTAAAAATATAAATTAACAATCTCCTTCTTTATCCCCATTCTCCAGCAAACACACGTTTCAAAACTGTCCTTTGAATCAAACAGCAAAATATATTAAAGACACATGAAGAGTAAAAATATGATAAATATACCATGTTATTAGTGAGTAATATTGGACTATTGCGAGCTTTTGAATGGAGAGTGAAAGAGTATGTGACTCAGGAAAACAGAGATGATTAGTCTCTTTTCTCCAGGAAGTGTGATAGACATAATCTGACCAGTAGTGTTACAGGATAACAGCAAGAGACATTTCAAGGAGATGAAACCAATTAGTCACAGACTAGACTGAAAAACTAAATAAACTTCTCCAGAGCTATTTGCTTCAGAAGAGCCACATGGGGAAAGAGCACAAACAGACTGATTCAGGGTTCAGATGCTGTGCGGTTGACAATCAAGTGAGGGAAGACTTCTGGGGAGGAAGGGAGAGTAGATTTTTTTAAAAATCTATGTAAAAGGATTGTAAGATCCATGTAGGGCGAGCAGGCTGAAAAGAGACATATTGTATACATGGAATGGAATAGAAATTCTGAGGTGGCGTGAAAACCAGGTGAATAGTTCACACTTCTTTCTGCTTTTACTCCAGTGGGACATCTTCTATCATGGGCTTAGGAAAGCACAGCACCATCAGGGAATTCATCCTCTTTAGACTGTCTGCCGACCCCCACATCCAGGTTATGCTCTTTGTGCTTTTCTTCGGGATTTATCTCCTGACCATCATGGGGAATCTGATGATGATGGTGATCAGAATTGATTCTCACCTCCACTCATCCATGCACTTCTTCCTCAGTCACCTCTCTTTCCTGGATCTTTGTTTAACTTCAGTCATTGTGCCCAAGAAGCTGGAGAATCTCCTGTCTCAAAAGAAATAAATCTCAGTAGAAGGCTCCCTTGCTCAGGCTTTTTTTGTGTTTTCAGTTGCAGGGACTGAAGCCTTTGTCCTCTCTGCCATGGCCTATGACCGCTGCACTGCCATCTGCTACCAACTGCTCTATGACCAAGTGATGAGTCAACACTCGTGTGGGGGTCTGATATGGATCTCCTGGGGACTGGGCTCTCTGGATGCTCTCATTAACACCCTCATGACTTGGTATTTGGAGTTCTGTGAGGCTCATATCCTGCCTCACTTCAGCTGTGAGCTGCCATCTCTATTCCCTCTATCTTGCTCTGGTATCTCCACCAGCTTTGCAGTCCTGGTGTGCTCTGCCATTGTGCATGCCTCTGGAACCTTACTCCTGGTCTTCTTATCATATGCCCACATTGTCTCCACCATCCTGAGCATCAGCTCCACCATAAGCAGAAGCAAGGCCTTCTCCACCTGCTCCTCCCACCTCACCGCAGTGAGCTTCTTCTACAGATCTGCTTTTCTTCTCTATCTCATGCCAACCTTAAGTTCCCCACTGAAGTTGATTTTTTCCATGCAGTACAGTGTGGTCACTCCCCTAATGAATCCCCTTGTCCACAGCTTGAAGAGCAAGGAAGTAAAAGCAGCTCTGAGAAGAATGTTGCAAAGAGGATTACAGCATCTTAGATAGCAGACGACAGGTAGAAGATGACTGAAAAAATGGGGAAGAATTTTATTAGATGGTTGAATAATAGGGAAAATTTTCTTAGTTCATAATAGATATGATAAACTATCTTGTAAGAACCTGTTTCCTTTGAAATGCTTGAGAAAAGCCAAGAGCTACTTACTTGCTTTGGCTCATGTTTAATTTGTTCAGGGACAAAACAATGGGTCAGATAATTATTTTAGTCCAGGAGATTGAATAATTTAATACAGAATTATTCTCCCTCTTATTTGTGAAATATTCCCATTGAGATTAGCGCTGAGAAAAATTGTTTAGAACCTGAATTCTTATCAGGATCTGAGATCTAGAGAGGAAGCTTTGCTAGAAATAAAATAGCCAACGCCACTGATAATAAAGAGACATAAACTTCAGACTCAGAGTTGAGAGGACAGTTGGGGATAAGCTTGGACTGGAAAGGAACTTGTAGAAAAGATAGAAGGAGCTAAAAATTGCTGGGAGAGATAGTGTCTTATTAGGGCAAAGCCAGATTCACAGACACTTTCCATACTCCATGCCTCTCCTGGTACCTTCACCTGGTGGCAAAGGGGAGAGAACCCACTTCTTCTAGGGTGGCTATCAGACCTGCTGTGTCCCTGGAGGCACCATTGCTGAATCTGCTGTGGAGGTGTGCGGTAGATGGCAGGTCATCGACAGGAAAATTGCAGCTAATGCTGGGACTGTTAAAGGGATCCTGCCTTGCCTCCACCAGAACCAGATTAGCTGTTTCTTTTAGTTTCCACTTACACTTCTCATTTGCTGAACCTAACCAGAAGGCATCAGCATGGGAATATGGAAGATATCCTCTGCAGGTGTCTAGTCCAGGTGATGTAAAGCCAAGTACATAGGACCAGCATGGGGCTGAAGCCAACAGAAAACTAACTACTGTACTAGATAATCATGTAAACATGCCCATCCTCAGGCAAAAACAAACAAACCCAAAAAAAGGAAATTAGACAAGTTACAACCAAGTGAGAGAAGATGGGATAGAAGGGAGAATGGGAGGAATAAGGAGAAATTAAAAGAGAAGACTTCAATAATAGTCAGAAGAATGAGGAAGAAGGACACCCTTGGAAGGACAGGCATTGGAAACCCTGGTCTCTACATGCATTGGTGCCTCAAGAGGCCTGAGGGATCCCTTGCACCAGTGAACACAGAAGGACTTTAAGGGAAGAAAGAATTCCTCTAATTATATGGTCAGGCAAAATATGGCCTAAAAGGGGCCAGTGGTTCTTCCTTCAAACTCTGGAATCCTAGGAAATTTTCAAGGAAACTCAAAGAACAGACTTAGTCTGGTGGCCTCCTCCTTCCCTTTTTGTACCCCTCTCATCTCATGGTTTCTCTGTCCCCACCTGGGCAATGACCTCTTCAGACCTCTCCCAGATTTGGGAGATGCTCCAAATTCACCTAATCCTTTTCTCTAAGGGAGATTTGGCTTGAAAAAAATTTATCTATAATTTAGTGAGACATCCTTTGAAAAAGCTGCATTTATCTAGCTTCAAAATTTCATATAAGATAGACCTGTTTCAGGCCTTTCCTACAATTATGCCATATTGCATGTCTATCTTCCTATATTACTTTCCTTGATGATTCAAGGGATTTTTAATTTTCCTTTTCAATTTTCCTTTCCTGTTTAATGCAGTTATTTGAGGAAATTTTTGTCAAATATTCAATCCTTAATGTGTGATTCACCAAAATTATACATTTTAAAGATTTTTGTCTTATTTTTACTATTTCTCTTTTCCATACATCTTCATACTACATGGATTTATGAAGCATGTTAGCATCTGCTCAATTTTTGTTCTCATTTCTCATAATAAGAATGAAAATATGAAATATATGTTGCAAAATATTTTTAGCATTTCTAATATTGATCTATTTTATCCATCATGCAGTATTTCCAAAAATATTTGAGGTTAGAGTTTTTCCCTTCATTTCTTTCTTCTTTCCTCCTTCTTTCCTTCTTTTCTTCCTCCCCTCTTTCCTTCCTTGTTTTCTTCCTTCCTTCCTCCCTTCCTTCCTTCCTTTCTTCTTTCCTTTCTTCTTTCCTTCCTTCCTGCTTTGCTTCCTTCTTTCCTTTATTTTCTGCCTTTTAAGGCCTCACGTCACAGAATTTAAATAATCATAATCCTTTGTTCATAATGCATAATCATTGGTCCATACATTTATGCCTTTTGGTTTATTTGTTTATTTTACTATTTTTTCTTTTTTTAATGGTATTATAAAACCTCCATGACCCCACAACTTAGCCTAACAACTAAAATATTGCTAATAACATACATTTATCAACAGAATTTTCCCCATATCAAACGATATCACTGCCAAGTATTTCATGTTTTCTTAACCCCACAAAATAAACACCAATTTTATTATATTAGTGTAATTTTGATTTCCCTACATTTAACCATTTATGTTAATCATTTCTTTTTGAAATTTAAATATCTTTGGGGGATTATTTTCCTCCTTCCTCAAGTACTCTTTGTACTAAGTAGATTCCGGATGTATCTCAAATAGAACATGCCACTAACAACAGACTTCCTCACAGAGATCCTTCATATTCCCCTCCAGAACTCAATTATAAACAATCTACTGGTGTCACAAGGAAGCTTCTCTCAAAAGTACAGGATATGCACAAGTGTCAGGCCAAAACCTCTTGAGTGTCTTCAAAAACAGTGTTCATATTCTTACCTCAAGAAATCTCAAAGCCTACCCAGGTGCCTATGCCATTTCACCTCCACTACTCAATAAGGAGACTCCATTTTCTCCCGTTGTTGGGTGATTCACCTTGATAACTCAGAGCTAACCTAAAATAGAGATGCTCCCACACATACCTGCATCTCCAAGATCAATGAGGGGTGAGAAAAGAGGATGAGACTGTAAGGAGAGTAAAATCATTAGAAACATGTGGTTGCTCTCTTTCCTTAGGTATCAATGGGAAAAAGAGATGACAGATTTTTAAATTGATAACTCTTCTTATTCATATATTTTATCATTGTCTTGTTCTTAGCCATTTACTGGTCTGTTACTATGAGCCAGGCATGATAGATGGAATTTTATACAATTTATGTCTACATGACAAATACTCCTCTACGATTTTGATAAATAATTCCATTTTCTTCTAATTTGTCAATTCTTTAAAAGTATTTAACATTATTGTTTCTCCAATTATAAAACAATGCACTTTTACTTTGGAAAATATGAAAAATTTTGAAAACCATAAAAAGTCAGCATCACTCATAATCCTAAAGTGTTGTCTGTGGCTCTTTCGTTGAAATCCAAGAAGGTAAAAATAAAAATATTCTCCTCCTTGCATACATGTAGAAATATTTGCAGATCTCTGCTTAAACACAGCTTAGTACACACATGTATTTCCTTGCTCTGTCAGCTGAGAGGACCTAACAGTGACAAGACTCCAGTAACAAGGAGCACACTCAATGCCCACAGCCTGATTTCTAATACCATTCTCCAACAGAAGGAACCAGAGCTACACAGAGAATAGACTGACTCTAAGGCTGTAGCCCAGAAAATACAATATGAGCCTGAAGCATCTTGTGGCTACACAAAGTAAGGAGGTACTCCCAAAATAACCCCACAGTGATGGGGGCATCTTAAAAGGACACGAGAGCCAAATGGAAGGGCTCCCAATGACTAAGAATGGAAAAATCTGAGGAACAAAATAAATAAAGTAGTATTAGACTATAAACAAAAGTATAAAATAAATACCCATACATCCATACAAATATAAATAAATAATTGAATAATTAAATAAATGGAGGAGAAAAGACAAATGTCCATTTCAGAAGGATTTCAAATAATTTATGTAGAAACTGCACTCTTAATGATGTGGAGCATAACTGCGCACTCCTTAAAGGTACATAGTGGCTCCCTTCTAAAGAGTACAGTATGGAAAGGGGGGAAAAAAGTGAAGAAAACTGACAAGTGCTCCCTACGCCAAATGACCAATCTTAATATCAACAGTGGTAAGTCTGTATATACTCTTGTATAGTATATACTCTCGATATGCTGTGATGTGTATACTCTTGATATGATGTATATACTCTCGATATGATGTGATGACAATGGCATTTTACCTCTGTGGTCCTCATCCCAAAAACCCATGACCCTAATCTAACCATGAGAAAAACAGCGATAAAACCAAATTGAGGGAAATTATACAAAATATCTGACCAGTACTCCTCAGAACTGCCAACATCATCAAAAACAAAGTCTGGGCAGGGACGTACACACCACTCCTCAACTCCTGCTGCGGTGGCATCCCACATACGAAAAATAGGGGAAGTTTGGCACTGATGTTAGCTCAGGGCCAGTCTCCCTCACTGAAAAAGAAAAAGAAAGAAAGAGGGAATGGAGAGAGGAAGGAAAAGAAAACACAAGACACCCAGGAGTCCTCATCCAAGGATTTCCAGTAAGATTTCAAAGTCAAGTTCTGAAGCCAACATCTGAGGTAATCTCCTGGGGTTCTAACAAAGTGCAACTTTCTTAATTAACTCATGTAATTTTGGCTTCAGGCTCTAACTCTAGGGAATAAACGGCATTGGTCCATCTTTCTCCTGAGCTCTCAGGCTTACTCAGCCGGTAAACTAACTGCATGAACTCTACCTGGTTTTTGGAGAGGTTAGAGCTGAGGTCCAGTCTCTTACCTTTTAGCTTAGCACAGTATTTACAGTCGCAGAGGAAACTAAATGAGGAAATACGTGCAACTGGGCCTGAGACCATCTGAGAGAAGTCTCTCACCAAATTCCACTTATTGAGGATTTGAGGATCTTTTCACTGTGACTAATGGAGACATGGATGACCAAGACTTCAGGACAATCTAGATCTAGGACATTCTGTCTTCCTGCCCTCATTGTGACTCCCAACTGGAAAAGTAAAAGTTGCTGTTTTTCCTAGTTATTTCGTTGAAGTATTGGGTCTTATGACCCCAGATAAATTCTTCTATCTTGAAAAAG